CCCTCCTCCCTGCCCTCTTCACCCCTTCACCTGAGCAGTCATGGAGCACAAGAATCCTCAGTGAAGTTGTACAGTCATGCGAGGCCTTACCAGGGAGTCAAACAACATCAAGTAGCACAAGTAGCGAAAGTAACGAGCACTGACTAGGAGAGAGGGAACGCAAAGGAGCCAAAGAAGAAATGGAGTTTGTGTAAAATAAACGAAGGGAGGGGGGAGGAGAGAAAGAAGAAGAAACGATAAGAACGAAGAAAGTAGCGAGACAGCAAAGAGAGGACATCAAGGGACGCAGAGACAGAGAGGCAGTCATGTTGCTCACCAGCGCTTGTAGGATGCGCCAGGAACAGTTTGGGAGGGAGGTAGCGGGCCGAACTATGAGGGACTCAAGCTCCTCCGACCACCCAACAACTTTCTCAAAGTCTCGGTCGGTGATGAGCGACGAGCAGCCGGTCAGGTTGACGTGCCTGAGCATCGGAATCAGTCAACACAGAGGCCGTTCCGCCTCCCTGCCTCCCTGCCCCTCTCAATTCCTTCATGCGCTTCCTTCTCTTCCCTACTTCTCGTTGTGCACGTTTCTAGTTCCCTCCTCTCCTTCCTTCCTTCTTCTCTTCTTCTCTTCCTCTCTTCTTCTTTTCTTCTCTTCTTCTCTTCCTCTCTTCTTCTCTCTCTCCTCACCTCCATAGCACAGGTTCCTTCACGAGATGGGCTGGGCCCTTTGCCGCCGAGGAGAGAAGCATGCGAGAGCGGAAGGGAAGCTTGATGACGATGCGGAGGAGCAGGTCATGAGGCAGCTCGTTGAGCTTGCTGAAAGTCTTCGTTCCAGGAGGGAGCGAGAAGGGAGGAGGTGCGAGCTCCTCCTTGGCCTCCGCCCTCACCCTGGGAGGCTCCACCTGCTCTGCTATGAACCTGCCCCTGCTCGCCATGCCAGGGTCAATTGCGAAGAAGCCGACAGGTCGGTCGTCATGGGCGCGGGTGGTCCTGTACTTGGAGTGCCAGTCCTCATTCTCGAGCTCCTCGATGCACCTGAGACTCTGTATGTCGATGTCTGTCTGGATCTCGTCGATGCTGTCCTCTCGGTTGCGGAGCAGGTGCCTGCCCATCATCTCGTCGGTGTACATGCTTCCTTGCCCTCGTTCGTGTCCTCGCTGTCTCTTCGTCCTCCTGCTCACAGCATCTCTGTCGGAGTCACGTAAGTTCTAGCGAGAGCACTTAGAACATTATGGAATTAGCTGCTACTAGTGACACTCTGCCTTTCCTCCACGTTCGCTGCATACTCGATAGCCCGTGACTAGCAGCCTCCTCTCCATCATCATCTCTTCGTCTCTACCTGTTGTTTGCATGCTCTCCTCCTCCTCCTCCTCCTCCTCCTCCTCCTCCTCCTTCTCCTTCTCCTTCTCCTCCTCCCTCCTCCCTCTCTTCCTCTACTCGATTCCATCTTGTACCTTTGCCACCTCCCCTTTTACCCTCATCCCAATTCAGGACCCCCTTTCCCTCCACTACCCTACCTACCAATATCCACTTACATTCTTTGAAATATACCGGTACTTTGTAACCAGGTCCCAACAAAGGGTCTTTGTCACCACCCCTACTTTCTCCATGAATGTCCAAAGGAATTGCTATGGAATAAGGGGGTAGGGTCAATATCAACGACATTTTTGAAAAAGAGTATTTTCGTCCTTTGCTGATTGCTATACCCACCCAAATCGTAATTGGCTTATATCTAGATAGGTCATGAGGGGGTAGGGGTAGTTGGAAACGGTATTCTACTGCCGCTGTAACACCACCCCTTGCTATACGGACCCCCTTGTTTCCATCAAAAAGGATACGGAAGGAGGGGTGGGAATAGAGCAGATAATCGCACCGAGAGCTCCAAAAACAGATGGACAACCCGGGTATCGATCCCGGTGCCTCTCGCATGCTAAGCGAGCGCTCTACCATCTGAGCTAGTCGCCCATGTGGATGACGTCATCACTGAAAAATAATATTCCAATTGATAGTGAGAACGCCAATCTCAGTGAACCGTCCGCCGGTGACGGTCCGTTACTAGTTACTGCCTAGGCTAGGCCGCGCCGCCCGGCGCGGCACTAGGGCCTCCCGGGCCCGGGGGCCGACCCGCGGCGAGTCGGATCCGAGCCTATCGCGGCGGCGCGGCGCCGGCCGCTCAGACGGTGCCGGGCACTGACGGACCGATCATCGTCCGAGGATCGGACCGACGGTAGACTCTGAGCCTGCCGCAGTCACTCATAGGCTGATACCTTGCCAAGTTGAGTCCGGCGGTGGCACACTGGCACACACAGCCGGGCCCGGGCTGAGACTCACGGACCGCCGACGGTCCCCTGGCGCCGGGGTGCCTGGCCGGCTGAGGCTGACGGCCGTGCCCGCCGGGGCCCAGTTTTCAAGTTTAGTTCAATCCGGCGTTTGCTCCGACGAGGGCAACTTCCGCAATGCGCCGCGCCGGGCGCGGCAGTTTAATCAGTGCGGCGCGGCACACGAACTTGATAAGCATTGAGGAGCCTGGCATGCGGCCAGTGAGAGAGAGTCTGTATGCGGCTAGCGCCCGCGCTCGTCGGATGCAGCCCGGCTTGAAACCCGGCTACCGCTGGCATCTGATCGCAGCGGCGCGGCGGCCGGCCGGGCGGGCCGGGAGGCCCGGGCCGGGCCGGGCCGCGGCGGGCCGGGCCGCGGCGGATCATCGGATCGGACAGTGACTGATTCAGTCCGGTCAGCTAGGGTTACTCATGGGTAAGGGAGGGATGCCGGGCATGAAGGGAGTGGAGGAGGAGAAGGTTGGGGAGATGAGGGAGAGAGGGTTCTGCGTGATCGACGAGTTCATGGGGAGGGAGAGGGCGAGGAGGATGAGAGACGAGATCAGCATGCTCAAGGAGATGGGCAAGCTCACCCCCAACAAGGTTCAGTTCTCCCTCAACGGACGCATCGAGCACTTCACGAAGCCCAACGTGCGTGAAGGCTCCAACCCCAAGATCCACACAGCTGATCTCTGCTCCCCATCCCCTTCACCTTTGAATCTCGCTCCCCTCCTCTATACTCTTGATTCCTCTCTGTCCCCCATTCCTGACCTCCTCCCTTCCTCTCTACTTCCCTCGCCCCATATCGCCCCCTCTTTCCCTTTCTCCCTCCATCCCTCCGTACCCCCCTCCGTCCCTGCCTGCCTGCCTCCCTCCTCCCCCCATCACTTTCGTCACTCCGTTCTTCTCTCTGACCCCGAAGGCTCCCTTGACTGAGCTCCCTCCAGATCTACGAGGCCGACATGCACGACCCCAGCATCCGCGAGCATGTCACGGAGCTCACGGAGCTCTTCTTCTCCGACGAGATGGTTCAGCTCCTGCAGGAAACGTTTCCCGAGCTCCACCTCAAGCTCGGCACCAGGGCCAGGACCCTCAAGTTGCAGATGAATGCAGGGCAGGGAGGATGTTTCCCGCTGCACTACGACAACCCCGGCAGGCCGAACATGAGGAAAGTGACGTGCCTCCTGTACCTCAACGAGGGATGGAAGGAGGGAGACGGGGGCGAGCTGGAGCTGGTCCCGTTCCTGGGGAAGCCTGTGGTGATTGAGCCGATCATGGACAGGATGGTGTTGTTCAGGAGCGACCTGCTGCTGCATCGAGTGCTGCCCAACAAGGAAGCGAGGTACTGCCTGACGATATGGATCGATGCGGAGGAGGGGCACGTGAACCGGGACGAAGACGTCATGCTCAAGATCAGCAGGAAGGAGGTGAGTGAAGGCGAGGCTGCCTGTAGGACGAGGGTCAGTCATGCGATGGCTCCTCTATGATGTAGCTCCTTCATGCTCCCACTCAGCGGCCCTTGCTGGCCGATAGAGCTACACGCAGCTTCCCTAGCGTGTCCATCCGTGTGCTGAGAACTCTCGGGTGAGGAGGTGACGCTTGTCCTGCCCTCCTGTCAGGTAGAGGAGAGCATCGAGAGCGTCGTAGAGCAGCTGAGGAGATCACCGTCCCAACGGGCCCTCAGCCGAGCGATCTATGACCAGGAGTACAAGCAGTCCATCCTTGACTGCATGCAGACGTCTGAAGGTCCTGCTGCCTCCTTCTCCTGCCTCCGCCTGCCTCCTGTCTCTGCCTCCTGCCTCTGCCTCCTCCCTTCTCCCTACTGCATCCTGCCTCCTCCTCCCTCACCCCGTCAACTGCCTCCTGCCTCCTGCCTCCTGCCTCTTTCTCCTGTTGTTCTGATGCTGCGGCAGAGGTGAAGCCGATGATCGCCGCACATGAGCTGCACGTGGCCGCCACCCACGCTAACGCGACGCTGAGCAGCCTCGTCCGACTGCTCGCGTCCTTGCGGGAAGACGTCTAGTGAAAACAACAGAGCTATGAGAGGAAGGGGAGAGGGGGAGAAGAAGATGGGGAGAGGGACGGAGTTCAGAGGTCATGGAGGAAGTGGAGGCCATGGTGAGCAAGAATCGTTGAGATTGAGAATCGGGCAGGGGAAACTTGAGATACAGGAAAGTGAAGGGAGGAGGAGGGAACATTCAAACTCTCGGTTCCTCGCGGGCCCGGGGGGTTGAGGAAAAGAAGGAGAAAGTTGGGATATGTGAGATCACGAGCCAGGATGGGTCGATCGGAAGGTTTTCTATCATGGTTGACGGAAGGTCGAGCTAGCAGCAGACAGCAGCATGACTTGGAAAGTGCGGAGCTTGTCAAGAGCAGAAGGCAGCATCAAGTGCGGAGGAGCAAGAGGGTCGGGGAGACAAGACGTCAGAGAACATTTAGGGAATGTGTGCAATATTTACAAGTTTGCAAAGAGAAAAGGAGGAGCGACCAGTCCTCTTCTTGCGTCTATCTTACACCGTCGTGTCATGTTGAGGTGCACCTTCTGAGCTCCACACGATTGTCGAAGAGTGCGTTGCAATGGCACTTCTGACAGAGAGAGATGCGGGCGATGAGCAAGTCCTGGAGAGTGTAAGAGAGAAGAAAAAGGAAGAAAACATGTAAGAGAGAAGACAAAGGAAGAAAGAGAGTAAAAGAGAAGAAAAAGGAAGAAAGAGAGTAAAAGAGGAGAGAGAAAGAAAGTATATCCGAGACAAGAAGGAGAGAAGGAGTAGAGCGCAGTGAGGTGGGAGGGAGGAAGGGGGAGGTAAGAGCGAAAAAAGAGGGGAGCAAGGACAGGATAGGGAGGAGGTTTATGGACAAGAAGAGACTCACAAGCTGGGATTGATGTTGCAAGTGCTGCTCAAGCAAGGAAGTCTGACATGATCGTAAGAGGAAGAGAGGAGGGCACACGATTGCTGAACAAGACAAGTGAACTTGCTCACGTGTCAAGGAGGAGGGAAAGAAAGGCAACAAGGAGTAGAGTAACAAAGGACATCACAGCGAAAGAGCGGCAAGGCAAGTGAATGCAAACAGAGTGAGTCACCAAACCCCGTCTATGCATCACCTTGAAGTAGATGGCGCTGCTCTTGTGGTACTCCAACTTCCCCTCGCTCAGCTTGCACTCCAGGAACGTCTTGAGCTGAGCCTGAAGGAACCTGAAGGCCAACGGCCGTCAGACGCGACAAGGACCGACGTCAAAGTGAGTCGAACAGAGCAAGGAAAAAAAAGGTCAAAGTGCGGCAGCACCTCCTGAACTTGATGGGCCCGACCGCGTCTTGTCCCTCGAGCGCCTGCGCGAGGCTCTCGGGCTGCACGTGGAAGCTGAACTTAGAGAAGCCGGCGCAGATCTCGCTGACGGTGAGAGCCTTCCTGCCGTCCACGTCTACCAGCTGCAGGAGCAGAGTCAGCCTTCGCCGCATCCTCCCTCCTCTCTCCTCCTCCTCCTCCTCTGCCTTCCTCCTCCCTCCTCCTCCTCCTCCTCCCTCCACCGCTTCCTCCCTCCTCTACCTCGAAGATGTCGTTGCACATCTTGTCGAGCTGGTTGATGCTCGCGAAGTTCGACAAGATCCTCAGCAGATCATCCAGCTCGTCCACGTAACCTTTCCCGTTCGGCTCCTCCCCCTTCGGAGCCCCAACAGGATCAGCAGCCTCGGGAGGTTTGGCAACCGCGAGCTCCTGCTCAGCCGCGTCCTTGGCTTTGCTGGACGCCGCAAGGAACTCGTCGAGCATGACGGCGACAACCACATTGAAGAGAATCCAACCAACCATGATGATGTAGGAGCAGAGGAAGACGCAGACAGTGTAGTCGAACATGTCTGCTGCTCCATGCGTGCTCAGCTCCTGAGCAAGCGCTTTCCAGCTGTCGCCGGTGCAGACCTGACAGACTTCTCATCATGCTTGAGAAGCAGAGGTGGGGCAAGCGTGCACGGTAGGGAGGGAGAGGGGCGAGACGGAGCAAGAGAGAGGGAGGAGGGGAGGAGGGGAGGAGGGGAGGAGGGGAGGAGGGGAGGAGACCTGGAACATGGTGAACATGGCGGCAGAGAAGGTGCGGAAGCGAGCAGAGTGATGGGAGAAGAGAGAGACGCCGACGATAGCGTATATGCCTGTCGTGAAGAGCATGATGCAGCCGGCGTTGAAGACCGGGAAGATGGCAGAGAAGAGCGCGTTGATGATGACCTCCATTGATCGGATCCGGTGGAAGAGGCGGATTATGCGGAAGGCCCGGATGAGCCGGAGGTTGGAGAAGCCGGGGGCGGTGGACACTGGGGTGAAGGCGAGGAGGGATTGCGTGACGACGACGAGGTCGAAGATGTTCCAGTAGCTCCTGAAGAAGTTGCGGAACCAATGTGCGATCATGTTGATCAGCAGCTCCACTGTGAAGAGCATTGCAAACACCAGCTCCACCCGATGAATCGTTTGAATCGTCTCCTCCGTCTTGGTCACCTCCGACTCGATGGCGTACAGCAAAAAGTTCGCCATGATCAGCATGGCGACCACGACCTGGAACAGGGTCGTCTGGTACACTCTCCGAAGGAACCTCTTCAATCGCCGGAGGTCGGACACCACGGCACTGATACTGCTGCCCCCCTGCTTCAACATCGCAAGCTTCTCCACCGCCATCTCTCTCTCTCCCGTCCGCGACTCATTGAAGCGAATCCCAAACGTTCTCGACGTCTCTGCCGTCTTGACATTCAAGCACACGTCACCGTATGGTACTTTCCCCTCCTCCGCGTCATGCCCCAGCAGCGCCCACGGCCTCAGCTTCCACAAGCTGGACAATCGAAGGGGATAGTTTAAACCCAACGCCTAAGAGCGAGGGGATCAGCAAGGAAGGCAAGCAGCAGGAGCAGGAGCAGCATGACGAGCAGCATGACAAGCAGCATGACAAGCAACAGGAGCAGGCGCAGGCGCAGGAGCAGGAGCAGGAGCAGGCGCAGGCGCAGGCGCAGGAGCAGGAGCAGGAGCAGGAGCAGGAGCAGGAGCAGGAGCAGGAGCAGGAGCAGGAGCAGGAGTAGCATACCGTCCTCCACCATCGCCTCCTGCGCGATGTCTGGATGCTCGTGATATCACTGACCTGGATACAAGTAGAGTGAGCACAATGGAAGAAGACGGCTGCCTCCTGCACCGCGATCGTGATCGCCTCCTCTCCCAGCTGCAGCTCGAGCTTGGTCGGCGTTACCAGCAGCGTCATGCTTCTGGCATCTAGACGTCAGTCACAATCTGACCAAACGACAAGCTGACCTCCAGTCCGAGCTAGTGTCCAACGACCCGCCCTCCAGCAGCCGGCAGTCACCCTCGAAGGACGACAGGTCGCAGTCCTCGTCCTCATGGCCCGACTCGGCGTCTTCGATGACGGTGACCAGGGCTCTTTCCTTGAGGGTATCTAGCACTTTGAACGGGTCTGTCAGCAGAACATCTCCGAGTCCCTTGCTGTCCCCGTTTGACAAGAGCGAATTTCTCCTCTGCTCTCTCTCCCTGCAACGAGTCGATGTCAGCAACAGGCCAGAATCGAGGGAAGCGTCGGGAACGCTGGAACGAAAAAGTTCTACGGATCAGCCTGACAGTCTTGGTTGCACAGGACTTTTGCGATGATGATGATTTGATTGTTCATGATCAGGCAATGCTCGCACACCTTATCCAGTCTCGTCTTATGTGATCTCCCTTCCGATTTCACTTCACCTCCTCGTAAACACTTCTCCTATCATCATGTTCCCTTGCTTTCATTCTCAACTCGTCCTCTCTCATCTTGCCATATCTTTCCTTCCATTACGTCTCATCTCGTCTCACCTTCTCCCTGCCATGAATCGCGACGCCGCCGTACTTCTCCCGGCCATCGCCGCCATTGCGCTAGGGGAATTGGGGTTATCGAGAGGGCAGGGTGGGTAGCATCATTCAAGATTTTACAGTAGGAAACAGGGGTACTGCACCGGAAGTTCAATTGGGGAATAAGCTGAAGGGGGTGGGTAGTCAGAGGAGGTAGGGGGCTCAAAAAGTGGGGTCGTAGGAAGATCGATAGAGTGGAGAAGTTGAGGGAGGGGTACTTGAAAACTAGGGGAATAGGGGGTAGTCAAGTAAATCATGGCCTCAAGTCCGCCTCAAGCAAATTTACGGAACCCCGCCGGCGGCCAGGGCCCGGCTGGCCGGGCGGCCGCCCGACGGTCGGCCACCATGACCGTGGCACTGACGATCACCGGGGGCCCCGCCCGCGTCGGTGTGCCATCTGCGGCTGACTGCGCATGGCACATGGCACGCTCAGGCTGCGGCACTGACCGGCCCCGGCCGGTGCCCGGCGCCCGGGGTCACCGAGTCGTACTGATTTTTACTAACTTCACTTTGAGTAACTTCCGTGCGGCAGTGCCGCAGTGCCACTCAGACGGTGGTCCACCCGTCACCGCGGCCGCGCATCACCGTGTGTTTCTCATGGTACCGCCGCCGGGGTCACTGCAGTGCCGCCGGGCCCCCGGGCCGCCCGCCGCCCCGCCGGGCCGGGCGCGCGGCAGCCCGTTCCACGGCATGCAGAGTGATGCGGCCCGCCGCCGGGCGCGGCCGCCGCGGCGCGGTCACCCGGCGGGTGATCGGACTCAGCCCCCGGGCCGCGGCGGTGCCGCGCGCGCGCCCCGCGCCCCCGGGGCGCGGCCCCCCGGCGGCCGGGCCGCCCCGAGGCCCGGGGCCCGGACTCACAGGCTGAATGGTTCATCATCGACTCGGACATCGGATTCAAACCAGCAACAAGGTCAAGGTCAAGGTTAGGTCAACCCGTAAGCCCCCTATTCAACTTCATACACCCGGATGATGAACTTGAATGGTCATTCATCTCACCCCCTTCCTATGTTAATCTCTCATTCCGTTTACGTTTTCTTGAAGCTGACTAAGATATCCGATCGAGTCCATGCGGCCCGGCTGCTTCAAAGGCCTCATAAGGTCTGATACCGTGACAGTCATCCATGACCTTTGAACTCAGAGAATCGTCCCTCTATCGCCTCCAGTCCTCTCAATCTCAGACTTGGATCGCTATTGTAAATGGTCAAGGCTTTTGCTTCTACTTCTGTCACTTTGATGAGGTATCGTAAATCACTCAGCCTTCGACCGTCGGATGTTCCTGGGGAGCCTGAAATTATGTCTTCATTCAGGGCCTTTCCAACGGTCATGTTGTGATAACGCGATGCAGCAGATGCTTCAACTTCAAGTCGCCTGCTTCGCCGTAGACTGCCTCGCTTTCAGCAGCCTCCCCAGTCCAGGCTTTCCGCGCAGTGTCGCTGCCCTGCCCGTCATTCAAGTTACCACTGCTGACACGTGCGTACTGCGATGCAGCCGATGGAGGGCCCCTGCTCTCGGCTCCCGTCGTCCTTGTCTGTACGCCGGATTGACTTTCCCGAGTCCCTCGATTCCGTTTCCTGCCATTTGTAGCAATTCAGGAATTGCTTCTAGCAGTTCCTTATTCCTTTGTACCGATGCCTTGTTCGTTTGTACCCCTTGTTTGATTGTACGGTGGCTGCTCCCATCTCTTCGCTCAAGCCGCATGGCACACCTGCTGTTCCATCGCCACTGGCAGGTGCCACGGTGGCGTCAGATTGTGGTCGTTACAGCTTGAGTCACCTCGCCAGGCAAAACATTCATCTGCTTGAGAAAGTATACATGTGGAGTGATTCCTGTCGCTGTTCTCCCATGACGTTCCAGTTCCGCGGTATCTTCCATTCTTAACTGTTCAGCTGTAGCACTTGCCTTCTTCCGACGCCGTCTAGTATGGCCCGGTAGGTTGAGTACCTTCAAGTTGGTCACCGGTAATCGCGCTTGATCCCACTGGAATCGCAGGGACTGCCAGGGTCCTCCACGGTGCTCTTGCTGGCATGCATTCGGTTTATCTGGACTTCCCGCACACATTGCATGGAAATATCGTCGGCAAGTTTTGCATTCAAGTGTTGTATAGGACAGGTAGAGAGATGTTCTTGGTTGATTTTGCATTGTCGTACAGGACAGGTAGAGAGATGTTCTTGGTTGATTTTGCATTGCGATGTTTCCAGAAACAAGAATGATGGGGCTTGTGGTCCGTCTGCATTGCCTTCTTTTACTCAAAGTTAAGTTAAAGATCAGTGCCACTCTTCCTGCTGCTCATCCTGACCCTCATCACCGCTCATCACAGGGGCAGCACAGCCCTCATCCGGCCCGTCACATACCCTCTCCGGATCTGGATCACCCTACCCTACCAGCGCCCTGCACCGTGCACGTCTCCGGTAGGGTCCAGAAGACTTCAGTTTACTACTCACCTATCCTACCAGGGCCATTATTGAATGATTGTTGCCTCAGGTTTTCCCGCTTCAAGTTTTCGAGGAGTTTGTGGCATTTAATACAAGATCAACAAGAAGCGGACAAGAACAAGAAGAAGTAGAAGACAAGAAATGCAATCAAGTACAACAAGTCCGGAAGGAAAGAATGAGAATGAACTAGAAGCACATGACAAAGAAGAAGTCCAAGATCAACAGGTACAAGAAGAAACTTCAAGTACAACAAGTCCGGTACAAGTGCAGCAAGGAGCAGAGCAAGGACCGGTACAAGTGCAGCAAGGAGCACAGCAAGGACCGGTACAAGTGCAGCAAGGAGCAGAGCAAGGACCGGTACAAGTCACGCGGCAGCAAGGAGCAGAGCAAGGACTGGTACAAGTGCAGCAAGGAGCAGAGCAAGGACTGGTACAAGTGCAGCAAGGAGCAGAGCAAGGACCGGTACAAGTGCAGCAAGGAGCAGAGCAAGGACCGTACTGGTACAAGTGCAGCAAGGAGCAGAGCAAGGACCGGTACAAGTGCAGCAAGGAGCAGAGCAAGGACTGGTACAAGTGCAGCAAGGAGCAGAGCAAGGACTGGTACAAGTGCAGCAAGGAGCAGAGCAAGGACTGGTACAAGTGCAGCCGCTGAAGGAGCAGAGCAAGGACCGGTACAAGTGCAGCAAGGAGAGAATGAGCGAGGTCAAGGGAGCAGCGATGTCTTTGTGTCCATACGTGACTTCGGCTCTCGCCATGTTTTCGAATCGACTGTGTTCTCTCAGTTCCCGGAAGCAACGCCTGGCTGCAGGCGCGGGCAACTGTTTCTGTCTGTGAACAGTGCTCGTCACCTGGCAAAGAGCGGGTTCTCCTCCCACGAGAGCATCAACCAGCTCAACCGTCTCACAGGCCTCGTACCGTCCGAATCGATCAAGGCCCGGAGAAAAGTCCGCTTCAAAGCCATCGGCCAGTCAGAGCACAAGGCTGGGGATCCCTATCAGGCAGACCTCTGCCTCACTTTCGACAAGGATCTTTACCTCAGTCATACATGATGTTCCAAAACCTAAAGGATGACGATGTTCAATCGATGTGGCCGCTCCATCACAGCAACGAGTCTTTCAAGAACGTGTTTGTCAAGAGCGGAGATTACATCTGCTTCGAGATCACTGAATCGACAAGCAAAATCCCGGAAAAGATCTACCAGCTTTCTCGACTATACGTGGTACTGAAGGACTACTTCATCGGGAAATCCTCTCGGATCGCTGCTATGGGCATCATAGTCGACAGTGACAGAGAAGAGTTTCCAATAGCTGCGGAAAAAGCCAGAAATTTCCTCAAGGGAGTGGCAAACACTCCTGACCTAGCAAAGAATATGATCAACTCAAGCATACCGACTTTCCTTTTGCACATTCCGATGCCTAACATCTACAGCTCGATAGAAAGACTCAAGGAGGGTCAAAATAAAATGTCATAGCTTGCAAATGGTCAAGATGAGATGAAGATTGAAATGAAAAAGCAAATGGCAGAGCTTGCAAGTGGTCAAGATGAGATGAAGATTGAAATGAAAAAGCAAATGGCAGAGCTTGCAAGTGGTCAAGATGAGATGAAGATTGAAATGAAAAAGCAAATGGCAGAGCTTGCAAGTGGTCAAGATGAGATGAAGATTGAAATGAAAAAGCAAATGGCAGAGCTTGCAAATGGTCAAGATGAGATGAAGATTGAACAAGAACAGATGAAGATTGAAATGAAAAAGCAAATGGCAGAGCTTGCAAATGGTCAAGATCAGCAGATGCAAGAGCTGAAGCTCTGCATACAAGGGGAAGTTGTAAATGGACAAGGGCAGTTTAAGAAGCAGGTAGAGCAGTCAAGACTTTGCGTAAAGAGGCTGATCGAGAGTCCCCAGGTCTGGGAGTTTCTACACGGCAAATCATTTTCAGACTCGTCAAACACCGGCGGACCTCAAGACACAGTCGTTGGCACTGAGGCGGCGCCTGCTCTTATCTCGATAGCACATGGTCAGGCCGCTTGTGGCACTGCCAGTCCGCTCCTGACACATCATGTGGTCCAGGCACTAACGACTCTCAGTGATATGGAGCAGCCTCTCAAGGCTATGTTAGCCCTTAGCCTGATTTTCACTCCCGGTTTCTAACCGTTCCGAGCTGCAGAACTACGGCTGTGCATGTTTCAGCTCCGAGAAGTTTCTTGTATTCTCCAAGTGTGTGAGTCGTACATTATCATCTCACGGTAGTCAAATAGTGGCAAATTCAGTACTAGCCCCGTCCTGAGTAAATGTGTGAAACCCGTCAAGGATGTTATCACTGAGATGCTGGCTCAAAAGCAGCGGCTGTGATGCCGGCATGATCCATGGATGTCGAGAGATCGCAGCCTGTCGGCACCCATCTATTAATGTCACAGAACCGTGAATACAAAGCCTCGGACATATTTCTTAAGCCAAGTGAGCTTTTGTTCTTGGCAAATCGCCTAGTAGTAACCCCCCGTTTGGCAAGGCCCTTTACAGCCTGGCATCTCGCCCAATAACACATGTGTATTTGAGTGATCTGAGACTTGAACAGCCGCCGGATGTGGTGGCATGTTGATCATGGTGGCATGTCAGTACTCTGGTGCCGCATTCCACCTCGCTGGTTACCTTCACAGATAATCTTGTATTTGCTTTTGTAGCTCATCAACAGCTTCATGGTGTGAACTTTGTTGCCCAAAGTCTGGGTTTCTTACACAATGACTTTTGCTTTTGCCGATGATTCTTTGCTTGACTTCGAAGCGTATGCGCGTCTATGTGCAGCTGGAATTCATCATGATGCATTTTGGCATCTGCTTCTTGTTGAAAGGAGGTGAAGTAAAGAAGCCTTGAAACAATTCTTGAAGCCCTCTGCATTCTGTCCAAAGAGGTTACCTAGAAGAGTCAACTTTGCTCGTACATGAGAAATGTTGATGGAATGCTGGCTCAGCCGCAAGTTGAGATAACTAGCCGCTACTTGTAGCAAGCATTGATCATCCGCGTTCTCTATCTCCAACGTTGCATGCCCGATGTTTTGCAGAAAATGTAACAGTTTAAGTTCAGCACCAATGCGTCAGCCTATCACTGCATAATCCTATACCGTACTGTTGTCAAGTCGATGTCTTTGAAAGTCCGTCGACAACGTGAACAAGCTTTGATGCAGTGTTGAGGGATGCTGTTCGTACTGTACCTCGTCTTTACGGCATTCCTCTCTGCCTGCTGTCGTCTTGCTCATGGTGGGGTTGCAGAGCAGATTGCTCGTCAGCATTCGGATTTGAATTTCTCCCCATGGCACGTCATAGATCTTGCATCGGTCGCCTATACCTCAGGCTGCATGACCACGCCCAAGATGTGCATCGCGGTCGATGGGAGAGGTACTTAACTAAAACTTAGTACGAGGTGTGGTAGCCTGGCAGTCCCGCCGGGGGTGTCCGGCCTGCCAGAGGCTCGGATCGGATCGGATGGTATTGATGAGCCGCCGCCCGGCCGGCGGCTCGAGTCGGATCCGACGGCTGGAACTTCCGAATGATCATACCAGGCGACCCGGACCGGCGACGGCCGCGGGCATGCTTCACTTTGAGTAAAGAGGGTGCGACCCGGCCGGGCGCAGCAAGGGCCCGGTCCGGCCGAGTACGCCGGGTCACGGTGCTGGCATTTACTCACTGAAGTTAACTTAGTTAAAAAGTGCTACTAGGCTAGTTCACTGAAAAATCAAAAAGAATTTGGGTAGCTCACAATCATGAAATCAGTACACCATTACCCCTACCTCTGAATATCACTGAAAACCACCACCATGATGATTACAGGCCGGGGTCCCCACTGGCTGTGACAATGATCCACCCGCCGGTCCGAGGCTCCCGGAATATCATACTAACGCGGTCACCCCAGAATGCCGGGGCCGCCGGGCGCGGCCGCCCATTCTGGGGTCTTTTGTGGAAGCCCGGTGCCCGGCGCCCGGGGTCGTACTGATCAGTTTTTAACTTCACTTTGAGTAAAGAGGGTCCGACCCGGCGCAGCAAGCCCGGCCCGCGGCCGAGTACCCGGCACACGGTGCTGGCATTTACTCAAAGTTAAGTTAAAAAGTGCTACTAGTTCAAAAATCTTCAAACTGATGAATGCCTATAGTCAATACTTTTTTAAAATATATTTCAAATTATGAGGTTAAAGTTAAAGTAATATATGCAAAGATATAAAGAAATTATATAACTCAAATTTCAATCGAAGGGAGTCGACGACCCCATGTCTCTAGTCAACGACATGGGCAGGAGGAGGTGGGAACGTGGGACGGGATGGAGGAGAGAGGAGGGGAGGAGAAGGGGAGAGGTGGCAGGAGATGAGTGGAACAAGTGTAGAGACATCATAATCTAGTGAAAGAACAAGGTGTCTTCAAACTACGGCTAGCTCGTTGCCAACCATCGTGAGTTGTTGTTACTAACCATTGTTAGCTGTTGTTACCAAACTCACATGTTTTGCAAGGGTGCTGGTTCGAGGGTTCTGAATGGAACCGCCCGGATATCGTTCCTGCGAACCTCCGTGAACACATCAAGGTGTGAGCACTGTGACTCTTGGCCTCGCTGCACCTGTGCAGACGAATGCGAAATCAGCATGCTGCGTTTCAAATCAATCGTGTGGAAGCCGTGTGGTTACGTTTGTTCTTATCTGTAGGCGGCCTTGCCATGGCTTCCAACGGAGGATTGTCATGGCTTCTCGGAGTGAAGAAGAAGAGCAAGCAAGACCAACCTGCAGCTCCGCTGACACCCCTCCAGATCGCTGCTGTGACCCCCTACCATTCTGAAACGATGTTGGGTGATTGTGCTTCCCAGAGGAAGGCCATCGAGCGGGATGCGAGGCTCACCCTGGCTGCTGGATCGTTTGTGGTCTCCCCGCACCTTTCCAAGGGGCCCCCGACGGCCCATAAGGAATTCCTTCATCGCACATTGAAGCAGACCGTTGGGCACAACAGGTACGGCGCTGTCAGGTGCTGCACTCGCAGGGCTCATTGCTGTCTCAGATTCAAGGAGGCGAAGGAGTACGAGAACTGGGCAACGACCATCCGTGATCGCGTTGGATACGATAGCAAGGATGATGATGAGGCCTCTAGCTCAAGGCGCGACCGCAGGACGGAGGACAGGGGGAGCAGGTCGGAGAGGCGAAGGAGCTCAGACAAAGACGGGGGCAAGCATTCATCGAGGAGAAGAGACAGGAGCTTGGAGCGCAAGAGGAAGTCTAGTGGAGAGGGAAGCAGCAAGAGAGAAAGAGACAAGAGGAGCAGGAGCAGGAGCAGGAGCAGGAGCAGGAGCAGGAGCAGGAGCAGAGACCGTAAGGATAGGAAGGCATCAAGACGAGAAAGATCGAGCAGGTCGACCAAAGAAGACTTGGATTTGGAGGCAAACGAGGAGGAAGAGGTTGAAGGTACAGCTGAAGGTACCTCCATCTCTGAGAGACCAAAAGAGCTATTCACACGAAAGTATCGCGAGAAAATGAGGGAGCAGGAGGCAGAAAAAGCTGAGGGAACTGCTACCAGCCCGATGGAAACGGATGAGCCTTCAAGGGTGAAAGGCGACCCGAAATCAACATCAGATTCTGAACCATCGATTGTCATTGATAGTCGAAACACAAGCTCAGGCGAAGAGCCGGCAATGAATGCGAACGAAGCACAACGGAAGCGACCGAGAGACGCAAAGTCCGAGACTGATATCGCGTCGTTGATAGCCAAGAAGTTTCGGGCGAAAGAGATAGAGAAGAGGAGGCGTGAGGGCTTGAGAGAAGCAGACGAGCCAAAACTCGTACGGCAAGATGAGAAGGAACGTGTAAATATTCCTGCTAACGGATCGGAGGAACGAGAGGCCTCGGGGCCTGAGAGCAGGAAGGACGGCTCTGAAAGTGATGTGATATGTTTGGAAGACCAGCAAGGTACAGCTATGATGAGTGATAACGCCACGTCAGACGCAAAGGACAATGATTCGCCCAAGGAGGACGAGGAGGAAATCGTTGGGGAGGACTCTGAAAGGAAGGTGACTGCTGGCGATACTCGGAACTCTTCTCTCGCGCCCAAGAGCGAGGAGGATGCGAGTGGAAGTGAAGGTCTCCTGGATGTCCTCGGGATCAACAACCCAAGTGAGGAGGAATCTGCGGAAGATAGCGATGCCGTGGCAGGGCAGGAGGATGGCAAACCCGCCAAGGCCAAAGAGAAGAAGAGCAAATCGAAGAAGGAGAGGAAGAAAGAGAAGAAGGACAAGAAGAGCAAGAAGAAGAAGAAGAAGAAGAAGAAAGAAAGTTCTGATGATGACAGTGACGAGGTCAAACTCCCCCTTCCCCCACAAGAAGGATTTGACAGATGCATTCATGGAGGTGTGCGTGCTGAAGTTTGGGTCTCCGTGTCGTTGTTCACTTGCGTACAGGAAAATCTCGATGGGAGAACGACGGCTTCTTTGAGCTGATGAAGGAAGAGGAGGCTGCGCGTGAAAGGGAGAGAGAGAGAAGAGCCTTGCTCCGAGACGAGAGGAGAAATTCCAACCGTTCATGTACCACCTACTCCCTTACGGTTACCCTGCTCACTGACGGCCGTTCAGCCCCTTCTCGACGTTCGCCGACGTTAAACGACGAGAGGCGCGAGCAACAGCTGCGGGACAAGCTGCTGCAGGTGCCATGGTGGGAGGAACCGATCTGCTCTTCTCACGTTTCATCCCTCAGGGCGTTGGGAAGTCCACCGCATCCGATGCGTCAGAGAGCAAGCCAAAGAAGCGTCTCGACGGTGCGCAATGGCTGGTGACCGACTTGCGGTCCAGCTGCTGACATGCCCTTCAGTGAACAAACTCTCCTTCGGCGGGGTGGGGCACCATGAAACTATCGAGGCCTTGGAATCACTGCATGAGACCGAGCATGATTGGTAGGGCACCAACTTCCAACGGCAGCCAGAGCACAATTAGCATTGTTTCGACGAAGAGTCTGCTCGGATTATCTGTGATGAGAAGGTTTCTCCTAATTGAAATCACATGACACCCTTGAGCTGTGTGTTGGCATCGAGATCAGTAGTAGTCCCCGCCATCGCTCGAGGGGTTGCAGTTCTCGAGCATCGGACCGCAGTCAAGGATTCTGATGGGGTTTTTCTTCCCTTCAATCATATCGTTCACCGTCGGGAACTTCTTTGCCTCTTCATTTGTTTGCTTCAACGGGGCGGGTGGACCAGCGCTTGCATCGACTAGAAGGCTCCACATTGTGTGAGACGAGCTACAGGAAGGGACAGTCTTGTGCTTGCAACGACGTCTCAGTCAGCTGTTGTGTTTTGTTGTTTGCTCTCGTTGCTCTTGCTGCAAAGTTCTCCTCGCTCTCCCTCCTCCGCCCGCTCCTCCCGTTACTCATGCATCGGCTGCCGCCTATTTCCGGTCGAGAGAAAGGAGGCAGGGGAAATTTCAATTGTTTCTTCAAGTTTTCAAATGTTAACAAACAATAATTGGATCTTGATCTGAAGGTGGTATATTCAATTTTTGAAAAGATGTGTACTGAAATATTACTCTAGCTCAATTACTGAGATTTTCAGTATGAATGTTTTTTTATCTACTCCATTATTGGATTTTAAAATCGTTTCAAGTATACCAAATAGTTATAAATCTTTCCCTTGGTACACGTTTTTCCTATAGATATAGCTATAACTATTTAATTTGTACTGGCTTTGTTGCTCCGGTAACAATGGAAGGCGACGTAGGCTACTACCCCCACCCTCTGCCTGAGACCAGACCCACCAGACATTTTACAGTACCCCATTACTTGACCAGAAAAGCGATATCCTGAGTACCGGTACTTTGATCAGTAGAACGTCCTATAACCGGTACATCGTAGTTTTCCTACCCCCCTGGGCACCACACCCCCCTGACCCCTCCCAAAACAGCTGCGCGATGGTTGGGAAAGCGTGACGAGGGGGACAGAAGGAGCGGAAGAGGGAGGAGAGGAGAGGAGAGGAGAGGAGAAGGAAATATGGAAGATGAGGAGAAGTTGGGAGCGACTGGACGCGAGTGAATGTGGCAGGAGGGAGGGAAGATGGGAGGGGAGAATGGGGTGGCAGCAAGGCAAGTTGAGCTAGGCAAAATGTCGAGATTGGGTCGGTCGGAATCAAGAGGGAAGAATAAAACTCGGGAAAAGAATGCTCACAGTGATGAAAATGGAGATGAGATGAGAACGATGTACTGAATGGTGCGGATTGGAGTAGATTATTAGATGTTTGACAGACAAACAGGTGCTGTAGTTTCGCCGTTGTATGTGCAGCCAAACACTTCCACCCATTCACTTTTAGCTTGGATGACAGTGAGGAATTTCTCAGATGTTTTTAGTTTGTCAGTCATCTGCACTTCAATTCCCTTGGCACCCATACAAAGCCATGGTTTTTATTTTTCATGCCATCAATTATGTTGGTTTGAGTTTGGTTTTGCTGTCTGGGCATCGATGGCAGACGCATCTTTGAAACGTCTGCACCTTTCATGTTCATCTTGTTCACCTCTCACCATGATCGATCTCAACGCCCCTTCATGCACAACAAGATCGAGTAGTTCCATCGCGGCAGCCGCCTGACGGTGTATCGCAGACTTGCCATGGAGCTGTTAACGTTCAACAAAGACGATGGGTTCACTGAGGTGCGGCTGAGCTGCTTCCTCTTGCTTCAGGATGCGCATCTGATCGAGGAACCACAGGCAGTTGTTCGGGGTTACCGCTCGGGGATCCTTGATGCAGCCTCCTACTCGAACTTGGGGCAGTGCGACAGCTTGGAGGGTGCGGAGGAGGAGGAGGAGAGAGGGGAGGAGGGGAGGCGAATGAGGGGAGGAGCAGGGGCGGAGGCAGAGGTGTCGATGATGATTCAGTTCTTATCTCTGATTTTTCAGACATGAGGATGCATCTGCAAGTGACCGACTACGGCACCTTCCTGCAGAACGAGCCGTCGCCCCTCCAGACCATGACGGTGTCTGATCATCGCAGTGGAGGATGTGTTGGTGATGGGATTGAGGCAGATCTCCGAGAAGTGCACTGAGAAGCTCGTGGACGAGTTCAACTACGTCCGCTGCAACGCCTCCTCCGAGCTAGCCAAATTCATGGATTACATCACGTCAGAAGTTGCCTCTCCCCCAGAAGCTCCTTGACGCCTCCTCCAGCTATGGGTACATGATCGACAACGTCGTCCTCCTCCTCACCGGAACCCTCCACGAGAGGGACACGAGTGAGCTCCTGGAGAAGTGAGTAGCAAACCACCATGTCCCTGCTCTCCCTTCCCAGTCGCTGAGCGGTTCTTGTTCCAGGTGCCATCCCCTTGGTAAGTTCCAGTCTCTGGCCACCCTGGCCATCACAACCAACGCCAAGGATGCGTACAGGGTAGGATGAGCTTCACTATAGGAGAGCAGCTGACGGCAGTTTGACGCAGCTCGTGCTTGTCGATACGCCGTTAGCTCCCTATGCTCAGATGCATTTCAACGACGCCCACGACTTCACTGAGTTGAACATCGAGGTGACCTGGCACGGCGTTGCGTGCTCGGGCTGAGCTGACGCTGTGCAGGTCATCCGCAACACCTTGTACAAGGCTTACCTGGAGGACTTCTACTCCTACTGCCAGAGCCTCGGTGGCAGCACAGCGGAGGTTGTCGTAGTGGGTGCGGAGGGGGGAAAGTACTGAGAGTCTTCCAGGTCATGGGAGAAATCTTGCGATTCGAGGCTGACAGGAGGTGACCTAGTGATCTGACTCCCGACCAGCCGCTGACGTCGAGTGCTACAGGGCTATCAACATTACCATCAACTCGCTCGACACCGAGCTGACCAAGGAGGGGAGGGCTGAGCTGTATTGCAACTTCGGTGATCTGTACCCTGAGGTGATGCCTGCTGCGCCTTTGTCAACCTAGCTTATGATGCCACTTAGGGAATCGCGCGACTTGAACGTGCCGAGAATCACGACGCTGTCCGAGCAGCCGTCGAGCCATACCCCGTGAGTTTTCTCGCTGCAATCCAGCGGAGAGCTGAGAAATCTGGTCCAGCAATATCGCCAGCTGTTCCAGGAGGCGACATATAGCCAGGTAGATGCCATGACTTGTTGTGTTGTCTCAGCATGCGTGTCCCTTGTCATGCATCAGCAGTCGCTATCCCTTGCTCACCTTGCATCGTGACGATTGACGTCTGACCGCAGGAGAAGTCGTTGGAGGATTGCTTCTTCGAGTACGAGGTGAAGTTGAACAAGCTCTCGTTCGAGCAGCAGGTAACTCGCCTTGCCCTCCACTCTTTGTTCTGATCGCCTTGCTCCAGTTCCAGTACGGAGTCTTCTACTCGTACTTGAAGTTGAAGGAGCAGGAAGTCCGTAAGTCACCCAAGAAGCTGTAAACCTTCCCCTCCCCTCCTGACGCTTGCTCAGGCAACATCGTGTGGATTGCTGAATGCATCAGCCAGGTGAATACCGCATGCCATGATCTCTCCCCTGCCTCACCCTGCCCTACTTCCTGCCCGTACATGTCTCGTCCTCGCCCTGGTTCTGCACCTTGTCCTCCACCTCCTCCCCTTCAGCCACATCGTTCCCCAGCTCGAGCTCACCTGTGGAACAGGACCAGAAGGCTCGCATCAGCCAGTACATTCCTATCTGGTGAGGCGGGTCATCAAGAACAGCCGTAGACGAGGCTGAGAGGGTCATGTTGAATAAACTCATTTGCACATAAAGATGCCGGTGCAGCAGGCTGACCGGAGGAAGCGAGTGGGGGCCTGCTGGGAGATCTCAGCGAGAACGGGAAAGATCGGGAGAGAGCGCATGGAACCAGCGATGCTGGTTGTGGTGAAGATGAGGAGAGGAGAAGAGTGAGCAGGGTGCACAGTCGGAGGAGAAAGGTTGAGGAAGGAAGGAGTGATGGCAAGTGGAGATGGCAGCAACATTGAAGGAGGGAACCAACGGGAAGGAAACAGCAGGAGGAGAGCTCATGAGGAGCAGGTGGTAGTGAGAGGAGGGAAGTGAAGGAAAGGAGTTTTAGTTTCATTGAAAACAATATCCTACAAGTAGGTCACCAGAGCTGACATTGCTTCTTGGGATTCATGGCAGTGCCGACGGGGCACTGGAACGCGCGAGCAAACGGCTGGAAGTTGCTGAGAACTCCGAGAACCCTGAAGAGAGTGTGAGGATGAGGGACAGAGGGAGAGCGAAGAGGGCAGGTCACAAGGAGAACAGAGGAGAGGAAGCAGGTAGTGAAAGTGAAGAATAGCAGGGCAAGCGCCAATAGGGGCAATGGTTGTGGAGCTGACGAGGAGGAGGAGGAGGAGAGGAGGAGGAGGAGGAGGAGGAGGAGGAGGAGGAGGAGGAGAGGAGGAGGAGGAGGAGGAGGAGGAGGAGGAGGAGGAATCTTTGGGAAGGGGGTATCAATGTGCTTCCCACCTGTACTTAGCGGGCGAGTGCTCATCGGAGAAGAGCGAGTCGATCGCCATGTCCTGCTTGTCTGTCTCGCACCAGTTCTGAGCGAAGGCCGTGAAGAAGAGTCGGTGAGCCGCCATCGACCGTCGCTCAGTCGGGTGGGACTTCTCGAACGCCTGCGGTCCACATCAGCCTCCTCCTCTACTCTACAAGCACGAGATCTCCTCCTGCCCCATGCAAATACACTCCTTCCCCTATTCCCCCTCCTGCTCGTCCTCGTCCTCGTCCCCGCTCCCCATTACCCAAAAACACTCCCTCTCCCCTCACCCCTGCTGCTCATCCTCCTTTCCCTTCCCCCGTCACTGCAACTCAAAATTTCTTTACCTGGAACGCAAATCGCATGCCACCTTCGTCTGCAATGTTCTCTCCCAGCGTCGCTTCCCCGTCCACGTGATTCCCCTGGTACCAATCCGGCACTTCGCTCCCGTACTCGCTGTACTGCTCGGCCAGACAATCCGCTCTCTATCACACACACGGGTCAAACCGACGCCTTCGTCTACAACCACACCACCTCATCATCATCATCCTCTACCGCTACCACAGCCTCTTCCTTTCACTTTGCAACCACCACCTCCACAACATTCTCTTTCTCCTCTGCATACATCATTCTTTTGCCGTCTCCCCCTCCTCACCTTGTCAAACTCTTGGAATGTCTTGCTGTCCCACCAGTCCTTCTGATCGCCATTTTTGTCCAACAAGTGCCCTGAGTTCACATCAACTCTCCTCTTCCTCCTCCTCTCCTCCTCCGGCTTCACCCGTGTCGTCAAACCCATGCGTCATCTCGTGCCCGCAGATCGTTCCGAGAGCTCCGTAGTTGCGAGCCTGCGGGAGCGTCAGGGCGGACGAGGCCCGGGGGAGGGGAGGAGGGGGAGCTCTTACGTCGTCGTACGTCTCTGAGTAGAAGGGCGTCTGAATGATCCCAGCGGGAACCTGCGGGGAGGGTCAGGCTGACGGAGGGACACGGGAGGTTGAACCAACCCAAAGTCCGTTGACCATGGGGCTGTAGAAGGCGTTGACGACGATGGGGTACGACTCGCCCCAGCGGTTTCGCTTCGGCGACTCGAAGATTCTCACCTGAGTTGTTCCATCAGCCCCCAGCCCATGATGAGTCGATGGCAACAAGGGGAGATATTGCAGATCGAGAGCGAGGGGATGGACGGGGAGTGGGAAGGGAGGAGGAGGAGGAGGAGAGGAAGGACAGCGGAGGAGACGAGGAGACGAGACGAGAGCATGGGATGAAGGAGAGAGAAGAAATCAGAAGACTTGAGACCTGAGCTCGCTTCACTGCGTTCGACCCGATGATGTCAACGTTCCCCACGTAGTTATCCTCCGAGAGCTGCCCAAAGTTTCTGAAGACGCTCTCTGGCCAGTCATCCGGGTAACCAACCTGCTCCCATCGTCAGTGAGAGGTGCAAGAGGAGGACAATGAGGAAGGCCAAGACCTCAAAGAACATGTTGTCGAGCTTCTCCTGCGCCGCCTTCCTCGAGGCCGGGTCCATCCACTTGGTTGTGTCAAGGCTGTCTCGGAACTCCTGGCGGATGTTCTTGAGCATTGTGATCGTGTCGTCCTTCCTGGTCTTGGGGAAGACATTCTCCACGTAGAGGTAACTAGACGCCCAGCCCAGCAGGTACGTCGTGTCCGAGTAGCACTTCTTGACCCGCTGCTGTTTTGCCACAACCCCGAACTTGGCGTTGTGCCAGTCGTGAACAGCATCCCTGAAGCTGTCGTCCAGGTAGGTGGCATAATTGTAGATGAGGCGGAATCGCGTGTACGATTCGACTTCAGCCCAGCACTGCTCCGTGTCCACAGTGCCGTTGGGGCTGGTAAAATCCTTGCAGCTGAAGATGTCCTCGAGGTTCTGTAGCCAGCCACCTTGCTTGATGATCAGCCTCGGGCTCGAGAGAGGCTGGCCCATCGCGTCCTCCTCCTCGCCTTCCTCGCCCACCCCGACCTGAGAGAAGTTCATCGCTTCGAACCATCGCTCCCAGTCGATCGAAGGCGCCTGTGGAGCAGACGTCAGAACCTCCTCCACCCTCTTGATCAAGATCGCTCACCTTGACGCTCAGATACTCCCGATCTATCCACTGGTCATAATGAGACGAGCCGTCGCTGCTGTTGAAGCCTGCAGCAAGCTTGATATCCATCTGAAGGACTTTCTCAGCATCGTCGTTGGCGACGTTGTCGTCGTAGCCAGCAAGCCCCACGAGCGTTTTCACAAACTCCTTGAAAGCAGAGATGGTATCCGATTCCTTGCCAGTAGCAAGATACTGGGTGTACTCGTCGGCATCAAGGATCGGCTTCGAGCCCTTGACAAAGAGCCCGTACCTCTCCTTGTTCCAAGAGTCGATGTCGACTGACCACGTCCAGAACAAGCTCAGGTCAGCCAGCTGAACTTTGATGGCTGCGTCGACAAACGTCACGTTGTCTGTGATGTTCTCAGTCATCTCCATCCATGGAGTCAACAGGTCCCACGACGCCTTGGGCGCCGTCCCCTTGAGGCAGGAGCGGTAGAAGATCGCTGCTGGGTTCTCTTTATCAGTCTCGAGCAGAGACTTGAGCTGCGTTCTGATCCCATCGTCAACCTGATCCCACTGCAGCGCCACCGAGGACACGTCGTCGGGGATGTTTGACCCCTTCGACTCCGCCCAGTGCCCGCACGCGAACTGATAGAAGTCGTCGCAGGGATCGACGCTGGGGTCGATGGCGCGGCGCATATCGGGAGGGAACTCGTCGACCTGCAGGTAGCTCGCGATCCTCGAGGCATCAGCCGTCACCGCATCAAGACGCTCCTTGTTCAGCTCCGTCTGTGGCGCATCGCCCCCAAGGGCCCAGTCGAGCTTCCAACCCGCAAGGTGGTCAATGGTTCTGTAGATGGGCTGCTTCATGTTCTTGTAGTCGCTCTCCCTGATCGCCGCAAGCTCCACTCGAGGCACTTGCATCCTCGAGCTGCTCCCAGTTGCGACCAGCATGCCGATAAGGAGAAGACCCGACGCCGCACAGCCGAACACGAGCAGCGACATGGTCCTCCTGGTAGTCCCTGCGAGCGACAGGTGCGTTCGAGCACGAGGCTGGCTCCCCTGCATGCTGCGAGCATCTTCGATATCGCCATGCCCGAACCCTACTGATGTCCCAGGAAGGATTGAGGGTGCCATTCGTTCAGTTCCGCAGGAGTATCGCGCCTCACGTTCCACGAAGAGTGTAAGCAACTGGCTTTAACGGAGGAGGTAGAAGGAGCGGAGAGCAGTAGGGAGGAAGCGGGAGGGAGGAGGGAGTGAGAAGGATCTGCAAGGAGGAGGGAGATGGAGAGGGAGACGCTGAGGAGGAGGGAGGAGGAGGTAGAGAGGCGGTCACTCAGCCGGTTTCTCCTCCATTCCTTCAGTGCCGTCTGACTAAGACTAACGGGGCCCCGTTCAATAAGCACCAAATGCTGGAAAATATGATTTGATGCTTACTGTATATTTCAAAATATCAATATATTTTATTAATCTCTTCCATATTTCAGCACCCCCAGAGGAAATAAGAGGATCGATTTACATGCAAAAAGCGAAGGGTCGTGCACGTTACAAAGTTCGTTGAAGTGTTCGGAAACCGTTATTTATCTGTGTGTTAGCCGCGAAAGATGGTTATTCCGAAATCAGTACGGCGGCATGCAGGAGCAGATGCAGAACAAGCGCTGGCCTTGTATGGCTTCAGCTGATTATCTTGACGGCATGGCAAGTGTCGACACGGCTAGCCCTCGCTGATCCCTTGCCATGCGGAAGCAAGTCCGTCAGAGCTGATCCTCCTGCTGTTTGTAAGGGGCCTGCCCCTCCTAGTCGCGACGACGGAGTGATCACCATGGAACGAGACTTGAAGGTGAAGCAGGAGATGAGAAAGAGAAGGCAAGAAGAAAGTCCTCAGATGACAGCGACGAACAAACGTGCTGCTAAGAGGAAGACATCTTCTGATCAAGGAGAATCCGCAGGCAATCATGCCAGGTCGAGCTGGGGCGAGTCGACGAAGACATCGTTCATGTCGCACTTCGAGAAGAGCAAGGTCAAGGGAGCCAGCAGGACGTCTCTCGAGTCTGACAAGTCCGGACATGAAGTCGAACAAGGCAAGGTGACTGCTAGCGCTGCAGTCAGCAAGCACAGGAAAGCCAGTCATCCGGATCAAGGCAATAACAGCAAGAAACGACACGAAAGGGGGCCGAAAGGGACAGAACCCACTTCCAGCATTCACAACCATCCATTCCCGACTGAGTACGGGGATCACTTCGAGACAAGCAAAGTCGCGATTCACGATATAGCGCCGATCTTGCAACAATTCGCCAAAGTGTCTGGGAAACAAGCTTCCTCCCTGGCTATTTATGATCCTTATTATTGCGACGGTTGCTCATCCTTCTCTCGCTATCCCCCCTTGTAATCTTGAATGTGTCCAGGTGCTGTCATCGAGCATTTTCGCCAGGAAGGCTTTCATAACGTGCACAATCTGAACGTGGACTGTTACCAGGTTCTCTTGCCTCTGGGCCTCTCGAAGGGATGGGGGGTATGATACTTGCATGCCAGGTCTGGAAGAGTGCAACAACCTCGAGTGATTTCGGTGTCTTGACGTGTGTCTCGTCTATCATCTCTTGACTCATGTCACAGATATCGTCGTGACGAATCCCCCTTTCTCGGGCGATCACAAGCAGAAGTGTTTAGAGCATTGCGGTACGTGTCTTACCGTCAAAGGTCGCCGAGTGCCCTCACTGTGCTGAGGACAGTCAAGAGGGAGCAAGCGTGGATGGTGCTGCTTCCTGCATACTGCGCAACCAAGAACTATTTTCAAGAGCTGATGAGCAATTGGAAGGAAAGAGGAAAAGTGTTCTACGGGATACCGAAGGTAAAGCATGGTCAAGACATGACTGTCACGGTAACGTTAATCTTTTCAGGTAAGATACGATTTCGAACACCCAGAAGGCACAGGCCATGCTGTCAGCCCCTTTTTTTCGATCTGGTTTGTTTACCTGGGCAAACATACCGAAGAGATCTTCTCTTGGTACAAGAAACGATATGGTAGAAGTACCTGCTCTCGTGATTTTTGTCTTTCTCACGGGCACTTAGGCGACGAAGGCCCTCTGAAGCTCGCGCGCACTGTAGAGGACCTTGCAGCCAACAAAGCTGTAGACAACAGAAAGAGGCTGAATCCTCGACAGCGTGCTGCTCTTAAGAAGAAGAAACAGATCCTGCCCTGATGAGCCTGGCGCGGAAAAGGTGGGTTTGCAGCGGAGATTAGCATGCAGAAGATTGTGAGAACGAAGAAAGGATGATTCTTTAATTCTAGTCTCAGTTTTGCAAGAGAGGCTCTCGTTCCTCATTTTAATCCCCAGCATGCATCTGAAGAGGTCCAAAATGTCTCAGCAAAAGATAACAGACTACTTTAGGAACAAAGACAAGGGAAGATCGAGAGAAATCGATCCTACCGACCTCTTTTATCGCTGCTCGACGTTGTTGAGAATCCCGGATGAGAGGATCGCAGCAATCGCAGCAATGCCTGCGGCAGCAACGCCGCCGATCTGGAGCAAGGTCGAGGTCAGACTCTGGATCAAACCGCGGAGATCCTCCTTCATACCAGGGCAGTGCTCTGTCCCGAACTCTCAGGATCCTGAACCTAGACACAACAAGCTTCAGGCTTCCAACAGGAGCGATCGAGAAACGCCTGGGATAGCTCACACCTGCATCTTGGGCTCAACCGCCCACACATTGCTCTTTCCATCGGCATCAACCGAGGCACCCATCCTCTTGGGAGAAGCCGGCTGCGCCACAAGAATGCGTTACATGTCGTCAAACATACAGTGGAGTGTGGTAATGATTTCAGCGCCTTCCTCGCAAAACGACATTCGATGTCACATCAAAGCTAGAGCATGAACGACCGTGCTACACAGAAATAATCCTTCCACATCGTGCACGAGAAAACAAGAACGGGCCATGAAGCACAGGACAGAACTTGTTAATAATTGTTCAGATTATGGTAGCAATGTCTTGTGTGAAAAGACGAAATCCGAAACAAGGCCAGTAAAGCCCAGAGATGTTGCTTACCCCATCGTTGTCTTGCATCCTGAGAGCAAGGCATGCAGGAGCCTTCCTGCTGGAAGGGCCAACCATGGTTGCCTTAGCAGAAAGGGAGGCAGAAGGAGCCAGCATGGGAGGAGCTCCTCCCATGAAAGCTTCGGTTCCCGCCACCATTGTCGCCGCAATGACGCCCCAGCTTGCTCGCATCGTCGTCGGATACCTAACCCCTGACACCACCCCTTTCTTTACCGACTCAGACTCACCCCTACCCCTGTTTTCCCATGAGGATACGTACAAGCGGCCTACAATCAGGAGTACCCCCACCCCACACCAGATCTTATGCTCCGCCTCCCTGTCCTTATTTGTCACATAACCCCACATTAGAGTACCCCACCCATCTTTGGATTGGCCTCTCCACCCCTTCTATGTCTTCACCACTACCCACCCCCATTATGAGACAACCACATACTCACCTCCCCTACCTCCCCCCCCTCCTTCCGGTACCTCAGCGAATTCTGGGTACCATCGTTGAAGACGCGTGCCCCCTTCTCTCTACCCCTACTTTGGCTATGAAACACACCCGTCATTCTCTACCCCACCCACCAACACCAGTCAAGAGGTGAGCGGAGGCCGCCAGGCAGCCGGCAACCTGTTTGAGCTTCGACAGGGTTCATGGGGGTCAGGGGGGTACGGTAGTCAGTCGCCGTTAGCCCGGGCACTGAGCGCCATCGGATCGGACCGGACTTCGGTCGCTCCCGGGCCCGGCCCGGCGGCCCGGACTCGGACTCCTGTGCCGGACCGAGTCCGACGGTCCCGGCTGATACTGGCGACCCGGGCCCGGGGCCCGCCCGCTCCGAGTCCACACATCATGTGCCGGGAAGGCTTGCAAGTGCCTAGAGATCATTCAACCGATACGGATGTTCAAGCTCGACTCTCAAAACCGTGGCCCAACTTGACGTGACACGTGACCGTGACAGGCCGCAAGGCCCGGCCCCCGATCATCGGACTCCCGGATGAGAACTCCCGGCGAGTCACTGACTGAGAGGACGGGCTACCACGGCGGCCGGGACGACGCACGGCGGCCGGAAGCCTGCCGCGGGGGTCAACTTGTGACACTGCTGATTCATTTAACTAGGCTTCGGAAGCCTACGGGGTGACGGTCAAACTTCCGCCGTAAGAGCCCGGTCTGAAATATTTGACAATCATCTTGAATCGAAAGGCAGAATCATTCCGATCGGATCGGACCGTGGCAAGTAAGACACAGTGTGACACTCAAGCCAAGAGAGGGTGTTGAGAGTACTGATCGGAGCTAGTCTCACCTCAGGCTACGTCAAACAGTTGATGACAGTGGCGGCTCCATGCACTGCACACTGACAGGTGCCGCAGTGGAAGGTATTCATGGGGACATCAACAGCTGTGATAGGGATGACGTAGGAGGACGTGGCCATGAGGACGACAGCAGGAGCTTAGGAATCATGGGAGACAGCAGGCGATAAGAGAGTCAGCTTACATGAGACCACTGCCAGGAGGACTGCATACGATAGGATGGCAGTGGCCCAGGGTCAGTAACGGCTAGGGGGATTCGGAAGTCACAGTATCACCCCTGGGGTCACCGAGTCTTGCCAGGACACACTGAGGAACCGGGCCGGGCAAGGCCGCAGCCTGGGTCTGATCGGAGACAGTAGTATCAGATTTATTCTACTGGAGGCCATATGAGGCCCTGAGGAGGCACGGGACAGCCTCGTATCAGGAGAAGAGAAGGTTATAGAGAACACACTGAGGGATCTGTCAAGACCAAGGGAGCAGCTGGATCGTCTTGACAGAGAGCGTTGGAAAGGAGATGGTAGAGCTTGTCATGCCAAGCCTATGGCTGTTTCTCAGGACACCTTCAAGCTAGGGGACTAGGACCCGCACCGGTAGAAACCATATCACGGATAAGAAGCGCAGAGTACCGTTAGTAGTAGTTCCCAGGACCAGGAGGGGCCGACATTCACAAACGGAAGGCTGTCGATCGTTTCTTTGAGACGATGAAGGAAAGAAAGGAAGGTCTGTCTGAGCCAATCATTGCCTATGGAGCTGCCTCTTTCAGTGCCGGTGGGAACAACGAGAAGGCGGTCCCCTCCAAGTGGATCAAACAACATTGCCGCAAAGCTTTCAAACGCGTGGTTGATGTTGATGAGAAACATACGACTGCCTATTGAGTCATCGATGTGGCACGAAATTACCAGTATTTCATCTCGAGAGAGGGACGGTGCGAGGGTTGAAATGGTGTGAGTCCACCCTTGTGTGTCTCGTGACATCAATGCTGCACTGAACTTTCTTTTTCGATGCCAAGAGACAGAAAAAGAGACTTTCATGTGTGAGCATGGTCACTAAACTAAACTATATGAGCTGATGCTCTTGCCATCCGCCTGGTAGTTTTCCGGGGATGTAAACCCTCCCATGCCATTGCTCAAGGCCATCACCACACCGCTCAGGACGGAGCTCAGATGCATCATTTCCTTGTGTATGTTCATGGTCTGCATCCTCTTGGAGGTGAGATCGGCAAACACATCCAACGCCTCCACCTTGCTATCGAGATTTTCCAAGTGTCGCTTAATCTTCTCCTTCGTCTGCTTGCCTTCGGAGATGACTATGTTGTCCATCTCCTTCAGTTTCTTCAAGGTGACTGTAACCTTCTACATGCTCTATACCCTGTTGGACCGGGATGAGCTCGGCTCGAGCCAGTGTCCATCACATAGCTAAGTTTCAATATGACAAGTATCAATGTGTTTGCCTAGCTGCAATTTATTGCTATGGAGGGATTAGAGTGGCTGATGCGAATGATCACATGCACGCTTAATAGAATCATCTGAGTGACCTGTCAGCACCATCATCATCAAATTGTAGGATACGACGTTTTGCAAACCAAGAATACGAGAGCTCAGACTTTATTTACAGCGCGTGTGTGCAATTGCTCTATTTTACATGCATGCACAATGGCCTTTCTTCCTTGTCATGAATCATACCTTGTAACTGCGATGTTGTATCTTTTAGTTCAAGTTCAAACTTTGGAACTACAATATCGTATGGAAAACCGATACAAGGTCTGATCATAATCAGAAAGTGAAGCTATGATTGCAATGCGACAATCAGTTTTTGGACGAGCAGAGAAGCATATCGAATATTGCCTGATACATTCCCACTGAAAGCATATTTCACCAATCAGGTTACCAAAATTTCAAGCTTCCAAAGTTCCGATTTATAATCAACTAGGGCTGCAACGCCGGATGCTTACCTGCCCCTGATGACAGTAACAAGGAGTCATCAGAATAAACCTTGCATCATGAGACTGCTGATGACAGTCGATCTCCAGATACATACAGATCAATGATCGCTAATAGCTGAAAGTGGACCTGGAGGTAGGAGCAAGTGCAATGACGTATGCTGCTGGCGTGACAAACGAAGATAGGCGGCCATCCGATGTCATCCTCTTGAGATTTTACGCGAGGATGCGCCAAAAGGTATTGATGCCTTGAAGCACCTTTGATGCACTGCAGCGGCAGGAGCAAGCTTGAAGACGGAGCTGAGGTATTCGATGTTGCATGCTGATGAAACAAAAGATGGTGCTTGTCTGTTATCTTCAGTTATCAGGGGCAGGTAAGCATCAAGAATACCGTCCAAACACCCAACACAATGACGGAACACATGACTAGGGCCTAAAGTCGAGAACCCGTGTGCGATTTTGTGAAGCCGAGCAACATCATCCAAGGGAAAATCCAATGGGAATTGCTCATTGATGGCATGCACTACTCTACGCACAGAATCTCGAAACGCGGTTACACTTATACCATGCACCAGAACAATGTCCAGATACGATCCACCAGCCAGCCATCGCAACGTTACAGCCAGCATGATCTCTGGTGTAACCATGTCTCCACGACGAGATGCCATTTTATCATTCTTGGACAAATGAGGTCGAATGCGATCTAACAAGATATTGAATGTGTTGATTCCAAGACGATAATACCGCTTGAAGGTAACCCCATGTAACTTTGTTTGTAAATGGTGCCATTCAACCCTCGGAGATTCGGCGAACATTGTTCGTCGACGTTTGATGGGACGATTGTGGTTGATGTCATCATGCAACGAGGACATGTGCTGCTGAGCCACTCTTTTAAGCTGTCGTTGTCTCACAAGAGGAATGAGACAGGCAAACTTTTGCAAGAGTTGAGCCAAAATCGTCAAAACTTCAAGGATTTCTGCGATCAAATCCAGATACTGTTCTTTCTTTCTGGCAGTCATCGAAGTTTTCCGCCTTGCAAGAACAGTAGGTGTTGATGCTTGTATCAATGAAGTGACTGCTTGTACTCCGTCAACGGTATCATTCAAAGATACTTGTTCATTTTCTTCAGCCATGGATGCAGCGTACCTCCTGTGTCGGGTGGACTGCAGGGTATTCCCGCCTAAAAATTCAAATTTGAAAGTAAAGCGAAACAGATCTATTTCAGAAACAATGAATCTGAAACTATTTATAGCAAAAAGAGTCTTTTCGCTCATGGATTCGCGATACGCTGTCAGCAGTGACTCTATTCGTACTGATCTTTAACTAAAGTTTTGACTCTCATGAATGATCTCCGGGTATCATAGATCCTATCTCGCCCCATCACTCGGTATAACCTGGCATTATTGTCCTCAAACTGATTTTTAACTTTTAACTTGAGTACACAAAGGCAAGGCAGGGTAGATCTCCCGTCAATCTCCCTTGAACCTGAACTTCCTTCCGTCGTCCCTCGTCCCGTTCGTGAGCCTTCGCTCTTCTTCTCGCAGCTCCTTGCTACATTCAGGCTTCCTCAGAGTCACTAGATCCTTCAGAAGCTCTATCGGCCACACAGTCAGACAGCTTCCTGCACTTTCCTTACTCGTTTGCAAACACACTTCGAACGCTCTTTGCACAAACATGGAGCCCGGGTACATGAGCGCTTGGGGCGATTTGCCTGATATCGTATCGCCACCACTCCACGCAGCAGATTCCTTGCCGATTGCCAGCACAGTGTCCACGCCCCGCATTCCCCTGAAATCCAGCAGGGGTGTAGGCACGGCTCGCTGTAGGAAGCTAGCAGTAGACACCGCCGTCCGCATCTTCAGAGAGCGGATGACCCTTGACGCGAAGAGCAAGTTCGTCGAGAGCGAGTTAGTAGGGAGAATGTATGGGGTGAACTCAAAGACTGTTCGCGACATCTGGGACAGGAGGTCGTGGGCAAAGCAAACTGAATTCTTGGTTGTCCACAATAAGGCGGCCGAAACAGGGCAACAGGACCGAGAGGAGGGAGACAACGGGACCCAAGGAGTAGCATGCTGTGAGATCGAGCAGCCTGTATCGATTGTCAGTTCTCCTCTGAGCAAATCTGAGATAGAAGGGTATTCGACACATTCTCAAGTCTTGGAAATGAAGGACTCGATTTTTGTTTTCGAGCCGAGCTGGGAGGCAACAGCATCATCTATTGAGTCTGTGGAGATGTGGACGGCAGGAAAGGAAGATCATGTCGTGAAGGCGATGGAGTACGCGGAAGAGTTTGGCTCGACACCTGAGGACTTGAGCGACTGGTGTTTAGACCCAAGAGGGAACGGGAGCCCGACACTGTGATGCTTGCGTCCGTAGGAATCGGGCTCTCTCCACCAGTGATCAACAAGAAGGCGTTGCTTCAACAGACAGGAAGCTTCTACAGTGGATTGTAAGTCATACTCTGAATTGAAAGAAAGGAACGCACCTAGCATGGCGGCAGGAGGACCCGTGGTACAGAGCTTCAGAAGAACGACTGAGTCTTGTGTTGCTCTCAAGCGCATAACATGTAAATTTTCATAGAAGAAAGTATAGTTTCCGAAGATGCCATAGAATGTTTTCAATGAGCTCACTATCAGTTGGAGGTATCTCACTCCAGCTCAAAACAGCCTTTCCGAGGACGCCGACGCATGCAGGGTGACTATGGAGGACATGACAGATGGTAAGTCTGATTTCACCCACATGTAGACTGACACGAGCTGTTCTAATATATTCGACGACACATTATGTTTCTCTGCAAACAACCTCCCTCAATCCGCGCCTTGAGACAGCAAGTCTTCACACTGAGAGAAATCGAACCCGATATGTTCTTGTGCAGTGTCATTCCAGTATGCACAACCATCAAGATCGTTAGGATATTCCTCAGACACGTGTCGTCTCCACCAGAAAAAGAGCTCGACCTCGCAATCTTCGAGGCAGACATCCAGCGGGGTCATCGATGGAGGAAGATAACCAGGGCGATCAAGGAAGTAGACACTTGTAGGAGTTGAGGAAGGAGAGTGGTGTTAGGGGAGCAGAGCAAGGCAGGAGAAAGAGATGAAGAGGAAGAGAGCGATCTACCTTTCCTTCACCCTCTCCAAAGACATTCAGTCGATGCTGCACAAACTCTGGTTCATCTCGAGACCGTCGAGAGAGGACGGAAGCAGAGAGCCGCTGAGGAAGGCGCGAGAACGAAGAGAATGGATGAGGCAGAAGAGAAGACATGTCAAGAGAGAGAGCGGCTCTCTATCACCCACGTCTTTCATTGAGATGAGCCATGGAGCTGGCTTAAACCTGGTATCAGTATGCTGGGCCTTTGAATAAAGGTTATGTTATGACTCCCTAGCCAACTGTCGTGTATTGCCAACGATCGCAGGTTTAGGAGAGCAACAATAATTGTCAGTAGCTTGGGATGTTTGATAAAGTGATCGACAAGTTATTCGTCGAGAGTCTCTCTGGGTCTCTCCGAGGCAACTGACTGACACCAATGAATGTGTTACATCATTCGTGACAAAAGTGATCCGATCGCAGTTTGAGGCGAGCGTCTGACAGGTTTATACGAGTCTTTCGCATCTATTTGTCAGTGTTTCCTTTCTCGGTGGTTGTGACAACGACCGCAGGCTCAGGAGCAAGGTAAGGGGCAGCACTCGCAGGCTCAGGAGCAAGGTAAGGGGCAGCACTCTTGGCTAGGCTTTTTTAGCCTTGATCGGGTGGTTTCCTGGAGGCATGGACCCCCCCTTTTAAGAGAAACTACCGGTCGTCTTAGGACAACGGCCGCCAATTCGAAGGGATCACTCAATTTTTGTTGATAGTCAAGAATCGTTAGATCTAAGAGATTTTTGGACTATTTTACGACTATTTTAGCAATAAAATGCTTATATTGATAACAGAATTTGAGGTTGGAATGCTCAACCACGACGCCATGGTTGCAGATGGGATGCAGAAGGGGCGACGCCGCGATGGCAGTGCTCAGAGAGGAAGGAGGGGACTTGGAGAGCAGTAGCAGGGCAGCACTGTAGGATGGTAAGAGGGATGTGCGATCTGAGGAACAGGTGTGGGGGGTGAGCTATGCAGTGCAGTCAAAGAAAACGTGTTTGGACAAACTTGATGCCGGAGGGATGGAGCGAAACTGAATCGAGGTGACCAAAGGTGAAGTGATAGGAGAAAAGCTCAGACTATCGGACTCCCTTGCCCATCATGGTGGCCAAGAGGCGCAAGAAGAGGACGGTGGCACGGGAGCTCTACATCCACATAGTGTCGGCTCGTTACCTGCCAGCAATGGACCCCAACGGGCTGTGCGACTGCTTCTGCAGGATCAAGCTGAATGACGCACTGCTGGGAAAGACGAAGACGATCTACAGGAACAGGTTCCCTCGATGGGATGCCAAGTTCGGTCCTTTCAGGCTCGAAAGCCCATTCCAGACAATCGTCGTGGAGCTAGAGGACGAAGACATCAGCAGGAACGACCTCATCGGATATGCTTCAGTAGATGTAGCAGACGTGGCTTTAGCTAAGGGCAGGAGGGTAAGGAGGTGGTTTGGCGTGCGAAGGATTGAAGCAGAGTACAAGCCGTGGGAGAGGAGGGCCAATTCCGAGGACGAGTGGATCAGAGAAAACGATGGCGAGTTCGCAGTGTCGAAGGAGAACAACGTGTCGGAGGTGCTGCTGGAAGTGAGCTACAGGGGCGACTACTACAACGAGATCCAAGATCTGCTGAAGCGCTTGTTCGAGGGGGCCCGGCCTCCTCCTCCTTCTGCCGATGAGATGTTCCGCAAACTCATGGAGGAGGCAAATGCGCATGAGGACGGGGAGGCGGTGGAGGTGCTAGAAGCGAAAGATCAGGCCCTGATCCGGACAATGAAAAAGGCGCAGCAGGGGACTCTGCGACCTCAGAGTAGCGAAAGGTTGCTTCATACGCCCTTCTCCGCCCCCGGAGGGTGGTCGAGGCCAGTTGGTACCCTGGACTATCACGGCGAGAGAACGAGGCCGAGCACAACAGCAGCGGCTCAGACGCTGCTCAACGAGGAGAGGTCGCCTCGTGCTCTTGCTGTGAAGCTTTTCTTGCCGGGAGATGGCGAGCAGGGCGTGAGGAGAGACGCGTTTGCCCGCAGGTCCGCTCAGAGGGGGAGAAACACAGAGCAGGCAGCGAGATCTCCGACCTCCGTCTCCTCTCCCCGACGATACTCTGACATCCGGGAGGCGTCAGTCAGTCCGTTCTCTCGGGCCCTGCACTCGCCGCTGCATCAGGCCACGCCGCTGCTACGGAGCCGGGCACTTCATCCAGTGCAAGACACAATCAAGCACTGCTACGCTGAGGTTGAGAGTGGGTCTGTGCAGGTGAGATGGGAGGTGAAGACATTCGGGGTGGGAGGGGCCAAGATGAGTGTGAAGAGAATGGGATGGAGGATGGAGGATGGAGGATGGAGGATGGAGGATGGAAGAGAGAAGGAGGATGAAGAGAAGGCGCTAGTGGTCATTCATGACATGAGATGAAAGGCTTTCGGCAATCATGAGACCCTCCAAGAGATGCAATCTGCTACCGTCAACTCTCTCAAACAGTGAGCACCCTTGGCTTCTTGATCTTCTTCGATCCTTCTCCCGTTTCCCTCTGAATTACTGACGTTCCCCAGGTTCAGGCCCCTGTTCTTGAGCAGAATCCAAGCAGTTCCTCCTCCTCCTGGTGTTCGATCGGTGAGTAATAGGAGCATCAGTAGGGTACGAGTGAGTGCGAGGGGCTAGGAGCAAGCAGGCGTAAGGGCAAGAGTAAGCGCATTAGGCCCGGGAGGACTGGAGCAAGAGCAAGAGCAGGGGTCTGGAGAATGGTCTGATACCAGACCGATATCGTTGGCTTGATGTTTGCATGACTGACAGGCAAGGCTTGTCGAGGGCAGTGGAAGACATGGAGTGGAGAACGTTGAGTCATACATCTCCATGTTGATCAGGATCGCATCGGTATGGTTTCTTACATAGGGCTGCTCTCCTCCTCCTCCTCCCCCTTCACTTCCTCGTGCTCTGCTTCCTTGCCCTTGACGTATCCTCTTCTTCCTCCTCTTCTCCCTCCTCTCCCGCTCCTTTCTTCTCGTTTCATCTCAGTTGCTAGCTCTCGTTCTCGTTCTCGTTCTCGTTCTCGTTCTCGTTCTCGTTCTCGTTCTCGTTCTCGTTCTCGTTCTCGTTCTCGTTCTAGAGAACGCTCTTGTTTGATGAGGCGGCAGGTCGAGGCCAACGAGGGGAAGGTACCTCAGTGCAAGAAGAGTGTCTTTCGTGCTGTAGAGACTTGCGAGCGATTGGTCGGAGCTCAGAGTCAGGTGGGCGGGAACACAGGAGGGAGGGCGATGACGTCATTCGGCGCAGTTCATGCTCAACACCTTGTGGAGGTGCGTGCAGCTGCTGATGAAGATCGAGCTATTGGACGATGCAGGTAGTCACAGTGATGCTATGTTGTTTTCTGGACTTCTTGCTGTGACTATCTTGCATTATCCTTCTGCCTCATGTAGTTGTCGAGCTACCCGTCCAGACGTTGATCGTATCCTTGTATCCATCTACTTGTCTTTTTCGCTTCTCGTGTACTGCTGTCATGCCTGCTACTGCTTCTGTCTTGTTGCTCTACCTGCTCGCTGCGATGCTACACACCAGTTGATTCATGAACTCGTCACAGAGGAATACTTGATGCGAATGCTCGAGATCCTACAGGAAAAGAAGAGGAGCCAGGAGCTCGCCGAAAACCTTCACCTCCCTTCTCCACTCCGACGGACCGGGCAGCCAGCGCAGCAAGATTCCAACGAGGAGCAGGTAAGGACAACTCAGCAGTTTTCTATTGTTTTCCTCCTACCTTCCATCAGACGCTCCCCCCGATCCTCTTGCTCTCTCTCTCTTGTCCTCCTCCTCCTTCTCGCACTCCCTCGCACGTTCGACTCCCCTGGCTGCATGTTGTTCCTGCCCCCTCTTGCCTTCTTACCCTTACCTCCCTTCTCCTGCCTTCTTGCGCTGAGTCTCTGACCTCGACTCCCGGCAGATCTCCGTGGTCACCAGGCAGCTGAACGACCTCAATCGCTTGAAGAAGAAGAGCAGCAAGAAACCAGGTCGCCTCCTCCTTCCTTCCCGTCACTGCTGACGTGTCAAGGGCAGAGCCGGTGAAAGCAAGCTCAGCAAAGTCGAGCTCGAAGCAAGATGCAAGGCTCAAGGCAACGCCCTGTCCTTGACTCCTCTTGGGCTGACATCTGGTCTCAGCTCGACGTCTCCTCGCTGCCTTCAGAGAAGTTTGCAAGAGCGATTCAATCGGTAAGGAGTGGAGGAGGGCAAGAGGGAGAACAAAGCAAAGAGGAGGGCAAGAGGAGGAGCTTTGATCTTTCTCTGCTTCCTTAGATCGCTTGCTGTTTTTCTCTTGCCCTTGCATGCCTCTTCTCCTTCTCCTTCTCCTCCTTCCCGTTGGACTGCTTACCACCTGCTCCCCCCCCCCCCCGCCTTGACCTCACTCTCGCTCTCTCTAGGCTCGGTCGGTGAGGATGGAAGAAGAGCGGAATCACGCGTTCCTGCACGAGGATGCTTGGAAGCGGCGAGGTACGCTGACGAGATGATCAAACACGTGTAGTAAGACGAGACTACGAGTGAGAACGGTCTCTTGTCAAGACAAGCTTAGAGTTGTAAAGATAACATCGGAAGCGAGCTCGCCCTTGTTCTGCAGCTCGGAGGAGTTTCCCCTCCTCATCTCAATGGCATACATGCGTCTCATGGACATAAATGTAAACACAAATCATGACCCGTCTCCCCGCCTCTCAGAGCTTATCGAAGTTCTTGACCTGCCCGCACTCCTTGCACTTCATCTTCCACGTCCTTGCGCCCTCGTCCCACCACTCCTCCCCCCACCTGCAGCCCCTCAGCCCCTCCTCGCACACAACATCCTCTCCTTCCACCCGTGTACATGCCGCGCTTGCCCGACGCTCTTCCGCTGGATCTTTGCTCCTGTTTGCAACCATCACAACCCCTCCTCATCCCCCTCCTCTCTCCTTCCCCCTCAACTCCCCCCTCTTCCCTCCTCCTCCTCCTCCTCGTCCTCCCCTCTTCCTTCTCTTTCCCCGTCTCTTCCTCTCTTACCCGCAACTCCATATAGTCCAGCAGTACCATCGTCGGTCATGACGGCCTCGGGGTTGCGCTCCCTCGCTTCCTTCTGCCCACCCCTCAAACCCCTTCCATCCCCGACCCCTCAATCTTCACCTTCCTCAGCACAGACTCCGTTGCCTTCGTCTTCCTCTTCCTCTCGTACTGCGCGTTCTTCCTCCTCCGGCTCTCCTCCTGCGCCGCGATGCACAACGAAGTCAGCTGCGCTCTCCCGCTCCAAACATCCTCCTCCTTACCAGCAGCCCTTCCTCTCCTCCGAACCGAGCGTACGACACGTCCCTGAGCTGTGCTCGCAGATACAGCTTCATGTCGTTCCAGCCCTCCTTTCCTGCTCCATCCTATTAGCCCTCCGTCCCCTCGGCTTCTCCGCAGCAACGCACTCGGGTTCTTTCGTGTGATGTACCCCAGGCGTGCAAAGTCCGCATCCTGCAGCAGGTACTCCTCTTTCGCCGCCGTCTTGGTGATCAGCCTGCCTGGAGCTCAGCAGGGGCAGAGCAGCTGGACCTTTGCTGAACGCACTTATACGCCTCGTCCGACGCGATGCACGCCCTGCAGACGGAGATGCCGAATGCGTCCTTGAACCTGAAGACTCTGGGTGAGGGGAGGGGATCCTCTACCACTCCCTCCTCTCACTGCAAGTTCGTCGAGCTGTCTCCACACTCCAAGCATGTCAGCGGATGACTCGTCGCTCCTGCACGACCTGTCTTCCACAGCTCTCACCACAGGGGGAGGGAGACTGAGGTCAGAAGAGGGGTCGGGGGAGGTGAACCTGAGAAGGGACCTGTGCGGCTCCTCCGCTCTTCCTCCGCTATGAATCCTCTAGCTGACACTACTCGATACTCAGGGCAAGCTGACGATGGGGGCTCGATGACAACAGGGGAGCATCTGCCGTGGTCCATGTCGCCGCTACCTCGCGTGCTCTGCAGGACGATGAGCATCCACGGCTCACAGAGCCAAGGGAGCGCACCTGGACTGCATCCTCCTCTTCCGGGAGGAAGCCTCCTCCATGATCTTCATCCTCAACCCCGTCTGCCGTTCCACCTCCCCCTCCATCGGGCGGCGCCGAGGGCTCGACAAGAAATCCCGCCTCCTCCAGTTTACCGTGGGGAGCGATGGCTGCTCCTATGGCATAGAGCGCCTCCTCTTGCTCCGCCAGGGTCCCTTCGCTGAAGGCTGTCTGCTCCTCCCTCCTCTTCGCCTCCGCCTCCTCCCGCATCTCCTCCTCCTCCTCCGCGTCCGGTGTTGGAGGGCAGGACATAGCCCATGGGCTGATCGGACAGGGTATCGAACTTTCTTTTTAAAAAGTTAATAAAGCAATCACGAGCTCACCTCAGGTTTCATAATAGTTAATTTTGAATGAAATCAAAGACAGTCCGAAACGATCTAGGTAAAATTAGAAACAAACCAAGATCTGGGGCGGGTTGGGTTGTGACATAACAGAGAAGGTTGAACGAATTCTGTCCTGGATACGACAAAACTGGAGGAGAGAGGGGAGGAGAGGAGAGGGGAGGGGAGGGGAGCTGAGAGGAGGGGAGGGGAGGGATGGGGAGGAGAAGAGAGGGGAGGAGAAGAGAGGGGAGGGGAGGGGAGGGGAGGGGAGGAGAGGGGAGGGGAGGTGAGGTGAGAGGAGAGGAGGGGAGGGATGGGGAGGGGAGGGGAGTCGAGGGAGGGGAGGGGATGGGTGAGGTGTATAGCAAGCAAAGGAGGGAGGGATTCACAGCATCCGTCATTTCGAGCACACAGGACTTTGATCTTACAGCAGATCCTGGAGCTGTGCGTTGATGCCATATGACCGATGGGAGGTAGGCGCTGGGTTTTCTTGGAGAAGGATGGCTGATTATGATGCAGTCGGAGGTACCATTAGCGACACCGGAGCAGAGCACCGATGTCGGCCCGAGGGAGGAGGTGGAGAAGATGAAGCAGCTGAAGCTGGATCACGGTGAGGACACGAGCGCCTCTGCCTGCAGCTCTGCGGTGCTGTCACTCATGAAGCTGAAACCTTGCCTCAAGACACCATCAAGACATCGGATGGCAGGAGCCTTGAGGGTAACGATCCTGATCTCCTGCTGACTTGTCTGATGTGGACATGTTGATACTAGGCGATGTGCTGCAATATCTCATTGACCCTCTCCCCGTCGATGAGTTCCTTCATGTGAGAGACCTTGCGCTGTCTTGGGCTCGTGGCTGCTGACTGCCGTTAGGAAATTTGGGAGGAGCGTGCGTACGTTGTGAACAGAGACGACTCAAGCTACTTCGAGGACATCATGACGTTTGAAGACTTGGAGGTTGTGATGATGATGATGACGACGACGATGCTGACGTTGACGATGACGATGATAGTTTTTTGTTATGGTGGAGACGGTGTTATGGAGAACAAGATGGTGCCAATCGTGACGACATGAAATGAGACAATGTTTGTGATACGATAACGTAGTTGTGTGTGCAATGGCAAAGACTGAGACGTGAGATGGAGAAAGAGAGAATAAGGGGTGAAGGAGGTTAGAGAAGTAACGGAAAAGGAAGATAAAAAGATGGAATGCTTGAAATGGAACGAGCATTCATACATGTCGTGCAGGATGTATTGTGTAATGCGATGGGCGATGAAGAATTCGGGGAGATTTTGTTCTTCAAGAACCAGCTACAGACCCACTACGAAAAGTAAGAGAGGACGCTTCAGATCTTTTTCCTCCTCCTTTTCCTCCTCCTCCTTTCTCCCCTCCTCCCTCCCTCTTTCCTTTCCTTCCCTTTCTTTTTCGCTCGCTTCCTCCCTCCAAAATTCCAATCAGCGTGAAATCCTATCAGCGCATTCCGGGCGTTTCTGGACGACGCCTCAGTGGTCTTGAATCACGTCGACAAGCAGGTGCCTGCCTACATGACTTGTTCTGTTGTTGAGCTCAACTTCTTGTGGCAGTGGCCGGCGATCAACATCATGTGCCAGAAGCTTCAAAGTCGCTTCCCTCACACGTTCTGCAACATGTACCTTACTCCTGCTGGCAGCCAGGTTGTGCGCGCAGGAGGAGCAGGAGAAGGAGATAGGTTACGGTTTGAGCAGGGGCAGGGGCAGGGGCAGGGGCAGGGTCAGGGTCAAGGGGCAGGGGCAGGGGCAGGGGCAGGGGCAGAAGGAGGATGAGCAGAGACAGCGGGGCTGCTACTGACTTGACGCGCAGGCTGTACATCCCCACAGTGACGACCGGGACGTGCTCCTGATTCAGATCTGGGGAACAAAGTGAGAGGAATGAGAGGGGGATAGAGGAGACCGGTGACAGGTTAACACAGAGAATGGCTGGTGTATGGGTCTCCTCAGACCCTCCCGTTCTCGGACGAGCAGGTGGTGGGAGAATGGACTTCCGCTAGCACCTGACTGCTGGGGTTGTGCAAGGTTGGAAAGTCGGGGCAGAGGCTTGCGGAGGGGACGATCGGGCCTGTCTCATTGTCTGCGGTCGGTGTTGTTCCTCTTGGGCTGAACTCTTCCTGTTCTGTTCCATTCGCCTTCCTGCTGGCCTGGTTTTCTTTTCTTGTTTCTTTGCTCTGCTTCTAGGACCTCTCTGTTCTTCCATTGTTCGTTTCTTTCTCTATTTTTCCTCTGTTTCTTTCTTTCCCCCTAGATCTCTTCCTCATCTCATTTCTATCGTCCCATCTATCGTTTCTCTTTCCTTCCCAGCCCCCCCCCCCCCCTTCCCGTTTCCCTTTCGGTTTTTCCCTCCCTCTCCCTCTCCCTCTCCTTCTCCCTGTATCCATCTGTTTCTTACTCTCTTCTCCATTTTCTCTGTGTCTTCTTCCATCTATTTCCTTTGTTTTCTTGTTTGCTCCCCCTCAAGGTTTTGACTCAGACGCTCAAGACTGGGGACACGCTCTACATCCCCCGAGGATTTGTACATGAGGCGAAAGCACAAGTGAGCTGTTCTTGTTGTTGGCAATGTTTGTATTGATCACAAAGATGCTAATGGACATGGTCCAACTGTTTGACTGTGGTTGTTATGAAGAAGCTGTTGTTGGCAAGCAGCTGTATTTCGTGTCTGTATTGTTCTTCAATCTTGAGCCTGTTCATGTTTTACTGTTGACTTGATTCACAATTTCATCCACGCTGACCGCATCTGAGTGTTTTGATTTCGCAGGAGCATGGTTCATTGCACATCACCATTGCAATCCCAACACAAGACTTCACGTGGTCAGGTAGGACTGAAACAGTGAGGAGAGGAAGGAGGAGGCGACATGATGCAGAAAGGAAGAAAGAATTTTGAACAGTGGAGCAGGAGGATTGAGAAATTTGAGATCGACAGCTCCTCCTCTTCTGCTTCTCCTGTGCTTCACTTCGTGCTGCTGCTGCTGCTCTTCCTCTTCCTCTTCCTCCTCCTCCTCCTCCTCCTCCTCCTCCTCCTCCTGACAGATGATGGACAAGGTGTCATGATGGATGCGATGCGACAGAAGCTGAGGGAGGAGAAGTATAACAAGTGGAGGAGGTGCGTGCCTTTGACTCTCCTGCCCAACGGAAACAACGACAAGGTAAGAGCAAGAAGGGGAAGATGGATGAGGAGGAGGAGGAGGAGGAGGAGGAGGAGGAGGAGGAGGATGAGGAGGAGGAGGAGGAGGAGGAGGAGGAGGAGTAGGAGCAGTAGTAGGAGGAGAGGTGTAACGCTATGAGTAGTGGTAATGTTGATTGAT